TGTTATGGATATTGAGTAACCTATTGATATGTGGAAGTATTTCTCTAATTAGAAATACCACAGATTGTGTGTTCATTGTATATAAAATATAAATACATAGTCTCATTTTATATGCAGATTTTTGTGTTGTATATATAAATGAATATATATACACATATATGCATATATAAAATGAAAGTTATGCTACCTTTTGAAAAAAATACATTAGAGCATAATTTTGCAAGTAGGTAGTTATACATTTTTTATCCCAGCTTCAATAGCCAAATCAGTGTACATGTGGAAAAATGATTAATGTTTCTCGACCTTTATTTACTTACAACAATATGGGAAAGACAAAACAACACAAAAATTCATTATTTACTATAGAAATTGGCAATCAAAAAGAGTGGGAATAAAGAATAATTCATCTTCTTCGAGCAAAACTTTTCTTCAAATGATTAACTGTCCTAACTTCCTTATAGATACCCTATTTTAGCAAACAACTACATGACTAAAATTTTAATTTAATCTCAGTAAACAGTAATATTTTTGTGTGCTCACATTTTATCACTTTGATCACTTTCATTATTCCCAATCAAACAACAAATACTCTTTTAGACAAGTGGAAAGATGTATTAAACATTCTGCCTAGAGCATTCTTAATTTCCCTGTTCCTCAGGCTAAAGATGATGGGGTTGACAAAGGGGGGCACCATGGAGTAGAACATGGCCGTTAAGAGGGCCGGAATGGTTGATGCATTTGTAACTGGGCCCAATATAGCAAACAATCCAGAAAATGAAAATAGAATAAAAGTAGCTAACTGTGGGGAGCAGGTTGACAGAGCTTTGTTTTGGGCTTCCACAGAATGCATGTGGAGCACAGTTGAAAATATTTTAGCATATGAAGTCAATAAAATGACAAAGCAGAGTAAGACAATGCAAGCACTTACACCAAGGGCCACCGACTCTGAAAACTGAACAGTCCTGGATGAGATGTTCATGATTTGAGATACGTCACAGAAATATTGATGGATCACATTGGACTCTGTGAAGGGAAATCTGAATAGGGTACCTGTGTGCATAGCAGAATAGACCAGCCCACTGGTCCAAGATCCTCCAGCTAACTTTGTGCACAGGCAAGAAGTCATGGTGATCCCATAGTGCAGAGGGTGGCAAATAGCAACATAGCGGTCATAAGCCATGACTACAAGGATAAAAAGCTCTGAAGATCCAAAGAAAATATATAGGAAAGTCTGAGTGGCACATTCTTTAAGAGAAATCAATTTACTGCCAGTCAGAAAATTTACCACGGATTTAGGAACAGTAACTGTGATGTAACCAAAATCTATGAGGGATAAATTCCCTATAAAGAAGTACATTGGGAAGTGAAGATGAGCGTCCCTCACTATGACCGTAATGGTCACTAGATTTCCAGCAACGGCTCCCAGATAAATCACTAAGAACAGCAGACCTTGTAAGACTTGGAGCTCCCGAGAGTTTGAGATATTCATGAGGAGGAATTCTGTAATGATGGTGAGGTTATCCATTTTTGCTTATATGCTCTGGTACCTATAGCAAGTGGATAAAGTGACAAGATGATTGTACAAACAAAATGGGGAGAGAGCAAAACCATCCTCATATAATATTAAAACTTGGATGTAAATTGTTTTACTGAATTTAAAGGTGCATGCCTCATATATAGTTGTTATGCAATGTAAAGTTTTTATTAATTGATAAAACAAAAGAATCAGGACGTAAGAACATAACAAAATGTTAATAACATTATAAGCTATCACTGTACCTTGGAAAACTTAGTTTTATCCAATGGTATTTAAAAAATAAAAATACAGTTATATAAAAAAATGAAAACAAGATAAAAATAATTGATATACCTGAGGAATGAGACACAGATTCTCTCTTCCTGCCCTTCAGTAACTCTCACAGAGACACGCTGGTATGCATCTCAGTACCATTACCCTTTAGTGCTCTTCACTGAACATTGTCCAGAGAGCTCTATCCCAGAGGTATACTTTATTCTAAACCATATAAAGAAACATTCATTGGGCTTCTCTGTTTTGCTTGGTTATCTCTTTATTGAGGGCATCCTCTTACTTGTATCTCTAACAAGCCACAAGAGATGAAGTAGTTACAACTTCCTGAAAAGCTGAAGGTCCTTCCTCCTTGTTGTACATTGAAATTAATTAGACCATCAATAGTTTGTTGTTGTTTTTTTTACAGATAACCTTAGGATTTTTTCAATTTGTGCCAATGATGGTTTTGCTGTCAGTGGTGGCTCAATAATTAAATAAATGCATCAATAAAATGCATGTAAATAAGGTGAATCAAAAGAGAACCAATCTGCTCACCTGTCATAC